TGCAGGCACTTCAAGGCGCCCAAGAGGATGAAGTTTTTTGCCGGAAGACCTATAGGAAAGTTCCGAGATCCGTTAACCATTCTCCACGAAATGCGGAATTTTCTTTGTATAAGGGAATTTGAATGGTTATTTTCACATAAATGAGGACCATTTCGAATTAAGCCAGGGCCTCTGATAATTATTGATGTCTACCAGGTTAGTGTACTTAATTGAATACCGTCCTTCTCTACCTACAGACCACTACGTCTCAAATTATCCAGCAGGAACATCCTGCTCTGCCCTCTGTACCTGTGAACTCATTTCTCGGTTCCAATTCATCATCCTTGCATTGCATAATGACATGAAAACACTCCTGCAAATCCATCCAATCAAAAATAATCGAGTTTTACGCCAGATCGTCGCTACGGTTACCAGTTCAGTGTAACATTACAACAAAAGGGGCCGTGAATCCTAGTAAACTTCAGAGTGAGGTAGAATCTAAAAACAAAACGCAGTAATAAGGTTACTCCTGAAAGCTTACATTCGATCTACGCTTTCAGCCCATTCCGCAATATTACGTAGATTCAACGAAGGAAGACCGCAATAGCTCGTACAATATGCTGTGCAAAAAGATTCAACCGACCGGCAACATGTTGTTGTTGTTGTGCTATTTTTTGATATTCGCCTTATTTATTGCTGTTCAGTTGTTCAAAAAACATACGTCATAATTTCACTTCAGGCATGGGCTCTGCTCAAAGTCAAGAGGAACAGCCAGATGTAGTCCGGATTGACAGAAATGAAATTCCTGAGGAGTACAAGTGAGTGGACGTGTTTACCTACTCAGTTTTCTGTACTTCGTACTTTATCGATTGTTTCTTCCTATTTCAGAACTGTGGGAGTGTCTTCAGATGTCGTTAAAAGGGTAAACGCGCAGACTGGTGGTGGAAGCACTGAAGCGGAGCGGTTGAGGTATTGTTGTTAACCTCTTGGAGTCTTCTGAGTGTCGCTATCTATACAGTTTTTCACATATTTGTCTTACCCATTGCCATCACTAGTCGAGAAGGTTCAGGGAAGAGTTAGCCCGTGAGCGAGAGGAGAAGCTGCGTTTGAGACAAGAGATGGCTCGTCTTACTCAACTACAACAAAGACAGGTAGGCCATTATCTCCCTGATTCCTGATTTTGCTTATTTTTTTCTATTTCTGGTCCAACAACCGCATTACATGCGAGCGTGTGGGTTTCGTTTTCCGAGTATTGCTTGCTCCCCTCGGTCGTTTTAAGGTTGGGTCTTTTAAAGAATAATTTGTTCTTATCCCCGATTTTTTTTTCATAAAAACTGTGGGCATTATTTCCACAGGGTATGGACAAAACTTTCGCCTCAAGCGAAAGAGGTGTGGTTTACTAGAACAGAAAGCGACTTTCTCGCACTACGACGTGAAAAAGTCGCTTTCTGTCCCCGTGAACCACACCCGGAAGAGGGAGAGATGCAGGCTTGTGAGTTCCGTTGAGGGTGAATGTTGGCGAAAAAGTGCCCCTTGAGGCTGGTACGCAAGCGATGGAACAATGTACCGAGAGACATTGATCGTTTTAAGGGGAACCTCCTTCGCTCTATTGCCTCTCCGCCTCTTTCCGGCTCCGCCATGAAAGGTGAGTGGTATAGAGCTCGTTAAATTGCGAGAGTCAGCAATGGCAAATGATAGGGAGTCTCGCTCACTTTCAAACAGTGTTAAGTGGAAAATAGTTTCGATCGCTGGTAACTAACAGCTTGATTCGCTGGTGCAGCGCTTCGTATCCATCCATGCGATTCACATGGAGTCGCTGGATACAAGCGAATCGCTGGATCGCAAAGAGTCTGACATCGGCCTAACTGTACCATTGGGTCATACCATCTCGTCTTCGGTCGTCCAACAGGTATTATGTATCCTTGGCCAAAAACAGTAGTTATCAATCCAAAAACAAGTCATAGACTTGACATTATTATTTTAGGTGTAGATTGTCGGAGTCTGTCGCAGCCTGTAACGATCGAGTATCGCTTCGCTTTTAATACGTATCGACGTACGACCTACCGAACGTTGTCGTACGGCGAAACGTATTCAGTGCTGTGCAATCATTACGATCGTACGATTGGATGGTCGACTACACAATCGACTCGTGCGAAGCATTACATGTCCAGCTTTTTTTGAAAACATGGGATAACATGTTGAATACATTCATCGTATAACAAGACTTTTTTTCAAGCAAAACTGGCGCTGCTAATCAATCATATTGGTGATCGATTCTTGAAGAGAGAAACGTTGTCTTCGATAGAAACAGTGGAACGAGTTCAGGAGAAGTTTTTCGCTATCATAGAGAAAATGTGTGCGCTGACAATGAAAAGGTGAGTGTTCTTCTAGTTTTTTTTTTATTCTCCTTCCATTTCTCTTTAGTTCCCTTTATTACACGACTCATTCAACAAGGAAACTGGACAAATCATGACGCAGTTTTTCATGGACCATGGAGTTGTGCCTGAGGGAATTGCCGATAAACTTATTCTTTTGTTGCAGGAAATCATGTCGTGTATACAAGAAAATCCAAATCGTGTATTGAAATGTGCACCTCTAACGACGCTGTACGAGAAATGCGTCAGTGACTTCCGTCAAGAAGTTTTTGAAAGGAAATTAGCTCAGTCTTTTTTAGTGGATTTTAGGGAATCGTTCTTTTATTCATTTTTTGTCGTAAGGTAGTCTGGTCTTTTTGAGATGTTTTATGTTATTTATACCGCTGCCTAAAATTCTATCATTTTTGTATTGTTCTCCGCACCGGTTGCGTGTTGTATTTGTGAATTTGAGACCAGGTTCACGTACTGATATCAGGCCTGTATAGGATAAATAGTTCACTCAGATTGTTTTGATTCCATATTGGCACTGTTCAGGTTGTAATCAAATTTCTTATTTTCCTTCCCATTTTTTTGAGCCCAGGTCGATATTTGGTAATGTTTTGCCTTCTTTATTTAGCTATATGAAATGGCTGTATGGTTTGATCTTAGCGCTAGCGGTGATATTGTTGTATTTTCGACCGCTGCTACGTCATAGGAACACTAGTGTTGTGAATGTGTGGAAGTTAACGAAAGCGAGCACCTTTTTCGATTCTCACAGGTTTGTCGAGCTTCTTTTCATGATCATGCGGTGATGTTGAAGGGTGTTTTACAGGTATCGCAACTGCTCCTTGTCGACATGTCTGCGCTCTCAACGCTGCATGCTCGACTACCATAGGGTTTCCGTGTATATTCAGCCAATAATAAGGATTGTTGACGAGCGTAGGTTGGCCTATTAACATCAACGACACACCCGGTTGTTGTTTGGTGTGAAAAATCGGGAGGCAGGGATTCTTCGTGATCAAATCAACGATTTATTTATTGCAAACTCTCACGGTTGGGGTAGCCGCGCCCAGGGAGGTGTCGCGCCTTCGCCATGAAGCACTGACTGTTGATGAACTATTGAGGTACCAGCGGCTCCTGACACCAACACGTACATCCGGAGTTTTAGCTATATAGAGTCGAGCAACCAGAACTTTTGATTTTATCCTGTCTTCTTTGGTGCACAAACCCACCCACACAAGCATTAAGCGCCACCCAGCTGAGAGCATGCTCCGCTTAGTCAGACTTCACTCCTTTTGGGCACCCCAGCGCTTCTTAGGCATCGCCGCTCCTGCCTTTTTCCGATCTCTAGGACTTCTTAAAACAAAGATCAACTTTTCCTCATAAATCGGAGAACGCTCACTCACCCTGTGCGCGAGCCTCCATCATCTCGTCAACCGGCCTGTTGCTCACCACCTTTACCCATTTTCTTCGTTGTGAGTCTATCCTAGAATCCACATCTCGCATGTCGTGGAGGAACTGCGCTATTCTCCAATGCTCCTGCGCCGCCTATTTGTTCCTTGCTGTGATCATGTCCTGCTCTCCAAGTGTTCCAAGTTAGAATGAAGTTGCAAAATATGAAAACCTAGTAGTCTAACATTAAACTTCTGTCGACCTCATGTAAGTGTTTTATAGGATGGGAACGTCCTCACTCCTATTCCATCAAAAGAATTCCATGCTATTCGAACACTGTTGCTGCCCTATTCCGTTCCGGATCCTCAAAGAGCTTGTGTTTTCTTTCCTGGCGTCGATTTTCTCAATCTTCATCGATTTATCTAGATCGAGTTGCACCATGCTGGTCGCTAACATTATCATATGAGGTGCGATGAAACGATTGTTTTCAACACATCTTAGGGTTTCATTATTATTTATTATTACTACTTATTATTATTATTGTTTATATTGAGCAAGCTCTCATGACATTTAGGTTTTACAATGCTCTTATATTCACAGTCATCGGACAGTGGAGGCATAGTCATCGTCACATAATGGCGAGGTTCGTACTTGCTCTGGTTTGCTTGATCTCCAACTTTCACAGTTAATCGTGCGCGTTTGTGCTGTTGAAGAAATCCGTTATTTGCAGCCCCATCATCCCGCTCCATCTTTACCGACACCGGCTGGATATATCACTACCGCCATATTTCGGTAACCTTCCTGCTATCAAGCCCTTGACGTCACCAACACGAAGCAATCTGTTGGTTATGCTATTCAATGCGTCCTCATCTTTCCGGGAAGAGAGCAGTGAAGCGTTTGCTCATTCACCAGTGAGTTTTATATTATGAGATTGGAATAGTGATGAAGTCTTTCTATCGCTTGTAGAGTTAACAACAAGAGTGAATTCGCTCATCCGGTATAAGAAAATGGCCAATTTCTAATAATTTATAAAGTCATGCTTGTTGTGCCTATTTCTTATCGATTTTTTCCTCATTGTCCGGCTGCTTTGGCGATTCGTCACTTTCATCTCTTAATTTTTCGAATAATCTCTCTAGACAACCCAGTTCTCTTGCTAAACCAAAACTGGAGTGTCGTCAATCTCGAAGTAACTTCAAAAGAAGTCGTCATGAATGCATAAGGCAGGACCAATATCTGAACTTAATCAAGCGGTTTGCACGTGTGACGCGACTCACAAATCAGTAGTCATGTTGCAGTCAACGTTGCCCTGTGGTTGAGATTACCGGCAAAAAGCCAACAGAGCGCTTTTTGACCTATCAGGCTAGTTATTTCCCTGCCTGTGCTATAGAAGTTAGGCAGTCCCACGACGTCAAGAGCGACCACCTTTTTTATCGAGATAATGATGTCGTTGTAGCCATTTATGTTTGACCTACGAGATGGATATTATCGGGTTAATTTTTCTTAATTAATACCCATCAAAATATGCTGTCATAGGATGTTACTATACTCGCTGAATGTGTTGATCGGCCATCTGAGGTGTGCGATAGCGCTGGAAAAGTTGTTCAGTGGGAAAAATTGGTTGGAGTGAGTTTGAATTTTCCTTTCTCCTGGTGCAGGCTTTTTTTCACGAGATAGTTACAGGAGTCCAAGTTCGTCCTCATCCACGAGCGAATGCCACATTTCAAACTTGCATTGTACAGGGCTTTGCAGTCAACTGTTATTCCTGTGATATTCGTGCCTAATCACGTGCTTCCGTTTTCCGATTATATCGATTGGCACTTGTAAGTGTACCATTCACATTTTTATTGAAAATGCCATTACTGCAATCGCGTGAGACAGCAGCGGCAGGTTTTCTTGGTTGGGCGGGTGGAAAAAATATAACGTACTTGAACTGGTTAGTTCAGGTCTCAGCACGATTGTGTAATCCCTATAATCCCTGTCCCTAGGCGTGTAATAGTACTGGTAAATCAAGGGAACTAGAGTAGGATGATTAGTGGTTGGGGAAGCTCGGCAGCAATATTAATTTTTTGCACTCTTACCAGTTCTCCTTTTCTACTCATTAAATGGCCCATTTGTTAGCTGATGCGCCATTCCTTCCCTTCATATCAATTCAGAATTGGGTATCCGTCATACTTTTCTACTTCCGTTTGATCTTCCATATACTAATTTGATAGCTTCCTTTTCCCTACTCTTTCAAATATGGCGTACTTTTAACGGAGAGAAATTACTTCCTAGTCTTACTGTAGCTACAGTACTAGCAAATACCAGCGGAGGAGTGGGTGACATTGTGCTCAGTTTGCCTAATCAGCGTTTTTCTTTGCGACTATTCTGATCTGTGTTCTAGATTTAGCAGATTCATTCGTTTGGCTCACCGTCTTTTTATTAAATTTGTACATAAAAGCGGTTGCATACTAGTTTCAACTGCATTTATGCTGGCATTGGTGGCGCCCCCCCCCGCCTTTTTTTTCCTGCAGATTTGAAAATGAAGGGTTACAGGATCTCGTTACGTCCTTCGAGTCTGGCTCGTGTTATTGGCGTCATAAATTCGTTGAGCCCCACCAAATTGGAGAGAATGCGTGCTCAAATCAGGAAGATCTTCGTGGAGTTCTCGTCCTTGGAAGGTGTTGTCAATACGACCATGCGCGTTTTGGAATCTAGCATGCTCCCGAATCAAAAAAGCAACGTTCTTACCGAGCAATGGACGACATGATGCCAAGACGTACTGTTGTGTAGACCATTATTTCATCGCTCTTATCGTTTTCCAAGAAAAATTTGGTCCTCCCATCATATTGGTGCATCAATAGGCACGATACGCTATGTAGTCATTAGTTGAGCAAACGCCCGTGTCATCAACTTTTTAGGGATGTTTATGCGTATTATCTCATTGTCAGTGTATAAAAAAAAAATCGACAATCAAACTTATAAGCCATCCTTTGTGCAGATAAAGGAAGTGCTCTGCCAAAATAGCCCTGCTCAAGGCAATGTCATTAGAATACGCGAAATCTTTGGATCCAAATGCGATTTTTCCTCGACCCATTTTATAGTAATTGTCCCGACCCTTTTAATTCCTAGTTTTGTCACAGGATTCGATGCATTGGTCACGATAAGAAAATGCCACTTTGAGTCACGTCCTCAATGCGAACCTCTTACATTATTGAAAGCAAAATTGTTGAGTCTCTACAAAAATGCTGAGTACTGGATAGTAGGGGTCGCTTTAGTTGGGTCTCGATCTCGGAGCTTGTGCTTGCGCACTAGAGTACTGTTTTTCAAACAGCACTTGAGTTCTTCACCGAAAAACCTGGGTTCCGGGTTCGGTTCCCATTTGAGGCAAAACCTTGCACACAAGTCAGCGTCCTTTTGAGAACATCTATAATGCAAACTGTCGAAAAGCATTGGTTGACCAACAAACCAAATCAAAACTTAGGGGGGGGGGGAGGTGGTACAGGGTAGCTCAACTTCTTTGCCTGGCACTACTTCATTATTTTGATTGTTTTTGGCTAGAACTATTTTAGGACTGCCCTTGCTTTGACTCGTAATTTAACCTACAGGCGGCGCACCCCGCTTTAAAAGTTCACTGAACTTGCTAGCTAGGGAAGTTATGATGAAGCATACTGTTCGTAATGGGGTGATGCTTGTGGCGAATCAAAAAATCGTTCAACCTTATAGCCTAAACCTCTTTCCAAGCCGAGCGCTGCTTTCAGTTCATAGCGTTCTGTCTATTGTTTGCTGTATGAAATGGAGGAACTCCTTGATTTTATCGGCAATAGCCGCGTGTCTGATTGAATTTACCAATACTGAAATTGGATGAAACGAGTTTTGCCTATTTCAATGCTTGAATCAACAGTGTTTGTTTAGCCAATCTCATTACCGCATCTTGAACCGGCACCTCAGTTATTAATGGTGGTTTGGTCCGACTCGGTGAATGCTGTCTATACCCAGCAGGATCTACGTCAGCTTGCGCCATCTCAGCTGATATCATCGGTTACTGTCATTTGGCGAGATGATGACAATGCTCCTTCACGTACGTTTTTGATACTGCTAACCAATTCATTATTTTTCGCTTATTTCTGTCTCTAGAATTAATATAAAATAATTGTGAGTTATCCAATTTCTATCGTTATTTTTTTAAATGTATTTCTCAA